CAGTGATGTTTTCACAACCAGACATATTGGGGAATGAACTGATGGGGGAATGAACTGATGGGGGAATGAACTGATGGGGGAATGAACTGATGGGGGAATGAACTGATGGGGGAATGAACTGATGGGGGATTGAACTGGTGGGGAGTGCAGTGAAGGGGAGTGCGCTGTGGAGAAGTGTACTGGAAGGGAATGAAGTGAAGAGGATTAAGTTGATTGCGAGTGCCCTGAAGGGGAAATGTATTGAAAGGGAGTGCATTGAAAGGGAATACGCAATTGAATTTTAAAACGGAAGTAAAAAGGGCATCGAACTGATAGTCGTATAATCCTTTTAAAGTAGATTTATAGAAGTCGAATAATAGGCTATTATTCAGTTCAGTAAATAATTACAATTCAGGGCCGTGAAAAGGCGGTTCACATAGCTTTATTTGAACACTTACAAATTAGCATGAAATTCAAGTTTCATTTCTAAATGGCTAGTACAGTGGTTCTATAAATTCTGTTCTGGTTATGGGAGATTTCGAAGAAAATAACAGATACTACTTATTTTATCACTGAATTAATGCTTGGGCAATTGAATACACTCAACAGGCTCGCTATTTAGCCGCTCACTCAACTTGTAAGTCTATTAGTGGTCTCTTGGAGTAGGTGGCCACTGTTCTAAATAGACTTACTTCAAAGTCCTGGCTTTTATACAGGATTCGGAACAGTATCTCAAGGTTTCAATTAGGCTTAAATAACTTCTAATCAGTGCGCTGTATTTAACTCTCTGACATCTCTACTTACTTTTCCAGATTGAACATTTGAGTCAAATTTATAGAAGTGATTCAGAGATAAGAAATATGCAGAACTAACTCTTATCCCTGATAAAAGTGGGAATCAAAGAATTTGATTTGGAGGAATATCTTCAACAAATTTGATTGCTTATAGAAGGATTCTTAGAACTAACTTAAATAAGATGGTTGCAAACGTGCTGTTGTTTATGATACTCCCTGAACCCTTCTTACTTTCTTTGACAACACAATTATCTTTTTAGGGAAATATTATGTTAGAGACATATTTAACTAGGCAGAATGTTTTGCGAAAATCAACTTCTTGACATCGTGTTGGGCGACGCGGGCGCTGTGTTGGGCGACGAGGGCGCTGTGTTGGGTGACGAGGGCGCTGTGTTGGGTGACGAGGGTGCCGCTCGTCGGGTGACGTGTGCGCTGTTCCAAGAAAAGTCGTTGTTGGATGAGATGTAAATTACATGCGCGAGACGAGTAGCACGGCAGGAGATGGAAGTGAATGCATAAGTGTTGCAGTGATGGAAATGAATATTGAATGCATGTGACTCGGTGGTGTTGCTTGACTGTTGATAGAAGATCTGGTTTAACCCTTGTCAGTCCATATAATGTTACTACTTTATAATCGCCCGTATAGGTATGGACCATTATATAAATGCAGTCCGATTAGGGTTAAGGAAATATAAAGTGAGTCACTATAGAAATATTTGCAACAGCGTAAAGAATAAACTAATGGTCTATATTCCCTCGCTGTCGGTATAGGAGGAACGAAGATACTAATGTTGGGGAAACATCGAACAACTACATTACTTGAAGAATTAGAGAAAGTATTTGCTCTGCTCCATTAAATCATAAAACACGAATGATACCAATCAGCAAAAATATCGATGCAAGGTGTAAAAAATGTTTGATTTATCTCACGACCGTAGTGCGTCTTTAATGGATTCATAGTCTGTCTCTTTGACTTTATTAAACGTAAACAAGAATTTTAAACGAGCTTAAGTGTTAGCACTATTTTGCTAAATGTATATTCAGAATTAACAGACGTGCAGCATGTCCAATCAAACATCACACAAATATTTTGATGGCATTATTTGATGCGGGGCAATTTATACGGCCATTTCTGAACAAACAAGCTCCTGATGAAAACAATGAGGCAAACAGGCACAATCCGGCGACTGTGAATTATTCTCCTGAACTACAGATCCTGCCTTGTGATTCATCTAAATGCAAGTCTCGTTATTATTTCAACTTACGCAGCCCTGACTATACGTCCTCCCTTGACATAAATATTTATTTGAAAAAGTACATACCGCTACTTACTGATGTTCTCTCGTTTCATTGGTACATCATCAGTCCAAGGCACTGGCCCACACCGGCATGTAGGCAATATTAATAAGCTGCCACTATCAGCCACCGAGGTCAGGCGGCACATTCTTCATGACAAACGAGGCTGTCTGCCTGCGTGACCGCGCGCCTCTCATGGATTATCTGCAAACTGTCAATCTGTCAGCCTGGGTCAACTTGTTCTACGTTTATCCGAATAAATGTGCGGCTACCTACATTTATAGTGATGAGTTTTTTCAATTAAAAAGAGTCAGGTATGTTCCTGGTTCAAAAACTAGTATATTCTTTTTCAAAATTTTTGAGTGGATTGTTATGTATAGTTGAAGAGGGTTTGTTTAAAAATTCTCTATCTGAGAATAGTTTTGGTTTGAGATGCGAAGGTTCGTTTCAGTTCATCAAATTATACTTGATCGTCGTCACTTCTTAAAGTTTGCTTGCCCAACATATGAAGTTTAAGAATAACTGTTCCTTTTGCAGATTTTTCAGCTCTCCTCCAGTGACGTGGCGAACAACTGAATATGTCTAGTTTTTTTATCGATTTCACTGTTCAACCTTTCTTTAAAGTTTTGATCCAGTACTAAAATTAATTTTTACTCGCGTTTTCTAAATTTAAATAATCAAAATCCGCCGGGACAACAAAACTGCCAGTAAAATAAAGACAAATCGTAGGCCATTTCGTTGGCGTGAAAGTGATTAATTCTCCTACTTTACTTCACGTTCGCAAAAGTTATTTGTGCTGTCAGATTTTACCTGCAGGAAATAAACAACTTCACTTGACTATATAACTTTAATATCTAACTCCTTTTTACAAGTCCATAAATTTGAATGAGGTCTTTTCGAAAATAAAAAATCAATTTGTATTACTGTCTTGAAATAGGACATTAAATCCTTAATTAATCATATACATAATTAAAAAATTTTAGAATTGCTTTGAGTGTATAGTTCACTTTTGAACGTTATCTGCAAAGGGATGTTTGAATGTCAAGATAGAATGAGAAGTTCAGGTTTTTAAGCTTTGAGGCTTCAAAATTTGAACTTTATTATGCATCAAACTGTCTATAAGCGATTCATTTAACATGAACAATTTTTCTGTTCTAGATGAATATTTATATTCAAGAAAGTCTTGTCATGCATTTCTTCACATAATATTCTTTCGAAACAGTTGCCGTCGCTTAATTATTTGAGTAAAAAGCTGATGAATTATTTAATTAATCAAAATCTGCTGAAATATTTACAAAATATTTTAAAAATTTTAAACATACGTTCCAATTGTACAAAACTTTAGCGTGACCTCCCTTTTCATCGGAATTAATGAGTTAATTAAATTTGTATTGAATAAGGCGAAGAAAACCATTCACTTGAATTAAATTTATTGAATCGAATTTGTGTCGAGTAAACACAAAGAAATGGAATGAAGACGATAGGCGCGAGCTGCTGCCCGGTGGAAGTCCTCTGAATCGGGAGCAGGAGCTTCACCTGGCTAGTGTAAACCAGCCAGGTACTGCAGGTAGCACAGGGAAACTGACGCGCTAAGCTCCGTGCAGCCCATCCTGTCAAAAATAAATGCCAACTGATTTTAATGAAACGAAAGCCAAAAGAGAAAATTGGAACAAGCTGAATGTTAGGGTTCTAAATATTAAAGGCTTAAATTTACGAACCTAGCAGCTATGCTCTTGAAATTTAAGTGATAATCTTAGAATAAGAGATTTATAGAACAAATATGACTTTCTAAGGTATACCGTATAGAATATATATTCAGTTGGAAGCCAAGACGAGTTTTATTATTTGGGTTGAGAGTGGTGAAGGGGAAACGGTTATCCACAATGGAACCCGGCCGGGGCTACAAGTTGCCACAACACCCTGAGCTTAAGTGACGGACAACCAACCTGCAGCATTCGGTCCTCTCCACAGCTCTCGCAGAGACCCGTCCTCCGTAAGAAGACGAGCTGATGCCGAAGTCCCCAGGTCATCCCAACACCGCGAGGCCGCCACCTCAGACGAGACGCACGCTGAAAGTCTCACTCCATAACGTAGACGTGGAGGACAATGCGCAAAGGTGTGGCGTAGCTGGCAGTCGTAAGAATTCTGTCTGCTGAGCTGTTTCTGAACCTGACTAGAGGTTTGAGTTTAGCTGCTATCTTCATAGGTGGATTTGAAGAAATGCGGAAGGCCGCCCACACCACAGCAAGAAATGTTGGGAAACTGTAGCCGGCAAAATAAACTTTACACTAACTCAGACCCAAACAATAAACTTCCAACTAGAAATATCTTAGTCAAGATAATTTTATACACCAATTTCAATAATTTTGATTTTCGCCTTGTAAACAATTGCTCAACGGCGATGTTGAGATTCGTAATAAGGTAATATAGTTCATATTAATTTAGTTTTGTTTCCAGCCATCAGCTTACGAAATTAAAATTTGCTATTGTAACCAAATCTATGATTTAGGCAACGGTAATTTAAAAATTCTTAACCGCAGTTTTCAGGATTCGTTCATTTCATATCGTAACTGTTTAGAAATCATAATACGCTTTCGAAGTCAACAAATTATAACATTACTTATATGAGCGGTTCTTACGATAATTAAGCAGAGCGACACCTAAGCTTAGGCTTTCTTTTGCTGCGTACAGATTTTTGCTAAGAAAATCGAAATAATTCCAGGTCGCTTATTAAATGTTTTGAAGTGGAAAACTTCTTCGCATTAATTATGTAATTGACTCGAAAATACTCAGTGAAACTCATTGATAAGATTAATTAAAATTTTACTAAAATCAAAGTTTATTTTTAGTATAAATGTTTTTGATTAAAAGGATGTGACAAAAATTTTGATAAATTTTCGTGACTGTGGAAATATTCCAACAGTGATGTTTTCACAACCAGACATATTCGATTTCACTCATAGCAATTTTGAAGAATCCCCCGTCTCCCCAGTCGTAGTCCCAAGAGTTAGCACACAAGTAGTACGGCAGTACATCTTGTACTCCATAACCTAAACATTTGACGGCATGACCGCCAGCGTAGCTCCCCGAGACATGTTTGTAAACGCCGGACTTGTAGTTGAAGAAGTCTTCGTAGACCTCAAAGGCGACGGTGATGGGGCCTTTTTCGAACAATTCTCTCATGATATCTTTATCCTCGTCAAGAGCGTACGATTCAGACCCAAAATGCTTGTCCTCCGTAAAGCTAACGAAATAGTTTTTTTGGCACGATTTTTCGCATGACAAATCTGATACTTGTTTGTTACTGTTATCGGGTGGACAAACCGGGTCGATTTCGTAAGGTTGGCATCCCGCGGTAGAATTGAACGATCCTCCCGAAACTATGCCAGATTTAATCCAGTAGTGATAGACATCTTCGGGAAACCCTCCGCTACAATAATCTTCCGTAAACTCAATGCACAACAGAGGTTCTTCAGCGGAATAGCGGAATTGAGTTTTCTTTAGAATGCACTGGCGATCCGTCATAACTTCAACAGCTCCGAAAACCTTGAACGAGTTGAGGACAAATTAACTAACAGTTGAGAAATTGTAACTAATAAATTAGTAACATGTTCATCCGTACACTCAAGCATATGTGTGCATAATAAATAAAAGTGCAGCTGTCTAGTTTTAACTAAAAGCGTCTGCGTCCAAAATCATAAATTTTGCCTTTTTTAGATTTATAGTATCATTTTAAAGGTCCGAAAACTGCACGTCCTATGCTACCGCAACAATGTCTGTACGTTCGTTTGTTCGTTCACGACAGCCGTCGAAGTGCAAGTAAAACCTATACCTTCAATGATCACAAATTTCACTTTTTTGGCTCTCTGGAAACTCGAACTTTTTATATTAAAAATCTATCACCTCCAATGATTTTCAAGTTGCAACATTGAGAGATATACCATTCGATTCGTAAAAAAATATCTAGCGATCCACCGATAAATTTTTTTTCCATTTCGTTTCAGTTTGGATTATATATTGAAAAAACAGGGAGGGGAGGGGGGTAAATGGAAGAAACAAAAAACGTCATAAAAAAAGAAAAGAAGAAAATTTTGAAAAAAATGGTCGGTCGATCGCTAGATATGGTCTTTACAAATCGAATGACACGTCTCTCGATGTTGTACAGTAGCACGTTAATTGAATGAGGATATTGATTTTACCGTGCCCCCTTTTTTGCAGTTTTCCAAGAATTTCACGTTTTCTTTCATTTCTTAGAAAATTTACACTAACAAAAAGTTATTAATTTCTGGTTTACATATGTGTACCAAGTTTCCATATGATACGTACGTAAATAAAAAGTGTGATCCGTACGCTCTCCTTAAGTACATATGTTCAAAATTGGTTATTGAAAGTAATTATTTATCAACTTCCATAACGAAAATTGATCACAAGTATGTTTAAAATTGGTTATTGAAAGTCATTATTTATCAAGTTCCATAAAAAATGATCACTAAATCGATGCCAATAGTACAGGATAATATTGCCTCGAAATCTCACCCAGCAGGATCCACAGCAGCCTTGATTACGGATCTCCCGGAGTGATGGACAGTCAGGCCATTGCTCCCGTCCATCGAAATTTTCAGGCAAATCCGACGAGCCTGTGAAATGAAAATACAAATGTTGCAGATCATTTGGTAAAAATTCGTCTATAATTCACATTCCATATTTTTTAAATTAAGTTGATTAACTGCAAGCGATATGTTTTACCATTAAGAATTTTGTCTCCAAAAACTATATTTCATTCCGTAACATGTCAATGTTTATATATGTATAAACACAAATATTGGTCCGCGTGTCTTTGCGATGTTGACAATGGAGCATTGACTCTGCTCAACTCATCAAGAATGCATTGAAATCTTCTCACTTGTGTTGGGGTAAGTTTTAATGGCAAGTCGAACATCCCTGCGATCTCTTCGCTTGGCACCAAGCAGTCTTTTCAAGCTCTCGCGGGAAGCCGAGGCAGGGAAGTTGCGGCCAGCCTGCTCAAGCGCAAGCCAGTTAGGGCTGCTCAAAATTCGGCGAGCTCACGAGAAGAACTTTGTCCAGTGTTGTATTATTATTATTAGCAGCTCAAAGACACTATTTTAGAAATGTATACATTCAAAATATTAAATTGAAAAAGCGTTAAATATTTATTGGAATTCAGTTACAGAAAAGTACAGGGGACATATTGCCTTGCTAAATTTACTAGTAAGCAAAAGTATAAATAATGTACAAAGTGAACAAAGATTTCTTCAGCATATGATGAATGACGAATTAAAATCCCACAAAAGAATTTATTTTGGCATGGGAGTTTGACATTTTATTTTAATGAAATTATTTTACATTAGGAATTTTTAAAAATTATTTCACATTTAAGAATTTTTAAGAATTATTTCACGTTAAGAATTTTTAAGAATTATTCCACTTTAAGAATCCCCTTGTCCCTGAATTATTTTACAAGATTTCCAGTTCTGTTTCCTTCAAATAAGGGCGTATGAACAATATTTAAAACAAATGAATCGATAAAAACCGATAGACTTGATCCATCAATGATAAATAGCCTTCGACAGCTAATTGAAACGTCTATTTTCTTTCAAGCCTGTATAAATGACCTAAATTCAAATAATGTGCAAAAGAACATTTATTAACATCCAGCAAATACATTTTTAGTTTGCATGCAGATCTCGCTATTTGATCCGTGGCGACAGATGGTATAAATTGATCAGATTTATCTGTAGGTCTCACCTTCCACGAAACGGCCATTGAGTTAATTTTCTGTATGAATTCATCGGACAAGAAATGAATTCCAGGGTCACTTGATTTTTCGTCGACAATTTTCACGTTAAAGTCTGATTCCGCACTACTTATGTGTGCAGTTTTGAGAGTCCAGTTGAGTACTGGTTCGACACCGCTAATGATCTCAAATTTCCGGTTGTCGCGCTTCGTCTGAACCATTTGAGCAAAAATACAATAAAGTGCGGTGGCTATGATAATCCAGATGCAAATGAACGCCAACTTTTTATTGTGCCGCTGCCGCTCGTAACTGAAATAGAACCAAAATAAACAATCAAATGCTTATATATATTTTTTAACCCAATTCTTTCTCTACAGATTATGTTTGATATAACAAAAGTACTGAGTTCCACTTCAAGACACTTTCATCTAAGAAGTCTATTGGATATCAAGACATTAGTAACAAAATTACCTTTTTTGGATTTTAATATTTTGAAAGCCATCAATAAATATTGGATAATGCTTGAAAGGGAATTTAAAATTGTCAGGAATAAATTCGAAATTCACTATGTCGTGTGACATATTGTTTTGCGTTCATCATTAGTGTTCGTAATTCATTAGGAATTTCGTAATGAGAGATACAAAAGAAACGAGTTTCACGCGTCTTAAGTTTTTCGATAAAGTAGGTACTATATATTAAAAATTTATACTGCTTGCACAATATTGCTAATTCCCTCTAAATCAAACAGTACAAGAATCGACAGTAAATTTCTCAATATATTCTATTTATTTTCATGGTTTCAAAAAATTGTGGCTAATGTAAGAGGTATTGTTTCCGAATTATTTTCGACCTACAATTTGCAACGATTTATTTTAAATCAGAATCTGTAATTACTTACTTTGTTAATTCTTCCATCGCGCGTCTATGCTTCACTTCTGTGATGGAGAACAAAAAAGCAACAACTCGATTCAATCTTTAATGCCTCAAAAGCCTAAGCAAACAGCCTTTCTGCTCATTCGAAGCTGTATCGTTCAGAGCACTCCGAGGAGGAGTGAACTGAAGGGGATTTACCTAATGGGGAGTGAACTGAAGGGGATTGAACTGATGGGGACTCACCTAATGGGGAGTGAACTGAAGGGGATTGAATTGATGGGGATTTACCTAATGGGGAATGAACTGAAGGGGATTTACGTAATAAGGAGTGAACTGAAGGGGATTGAACTGATGGGGATTTACCTTATGGGGAGTGAACTGAAGGGGATTGTATTGATGGGGATTTACCTAATGGGGGGGGGGTGAACTGAAGGGGATTGAACTGATGGGGATTTACCTAATGGGGTATGAACTGAAGGGGATTGAACAGATAGGGAGTGCAATGAAGGGGAGTGCGCTGTGGAGTAGTGCACTGAAAGGGAATGAAGTGAAGAGGATTAAGCTGATTGCGAGTGCCCTGAAGGGGAAAGGTATTGAAGGGAGTGCATTGAAGGGGAATGCCAATTGAATTTTAAATTGGAAGTAAAAAGTGCATCGAACTGATACTCGTATAAAGTATGATCCTTTTAAAGTAGATATATAGAAGTCGAATAATAGGCTATTATTCAGTTCAGTAAATAATTACAATTCAGGGCCATGAAAAGGCGGTTCACATAGCTTTATTTGAACACATACAAATTAGCATGAAATTCAATTTCACTTCTAAATGTCTTGTACAGTCGTTCCATAAATTCTGTTCCGGTTATTATAGGAGATTTCGAAGAAAATAAAAGTAATAATTTATTTTATCACTGAATTAATGCCGTATTGTTATAGAGACTTGAACAATTGGATACACTCTACAGGCTCGCTATTTAGCCTCTCTCACAACTTGTAAGTCGATTAGTTGTCTCTTTGGAGTAGGTGGCCACTGTTCTAAAAAGACTTACTTCAAAGTCCTGGCTTTTATACAGGATTCGCTACAGTATCTCAAGGTCTCAATTAGGCTTAAATAACTTCTAATCAGTGCGTTGTATTTAACTCTCTGACATCTCTGTTTACTTTTCCAGATTGAACATTGGAGTCAAATTTATGGAAATGATTCAGAGATAAGAAATCTACAAAACTAACTTTTATCCCCAATAAAAGAGGAAACCAAAAAATTTGATTCAGAGGACTATCTTCATTAAATTTGATTGTTTAGAGTAGGATTCTGAAAATTCAATGAAATGAGATGGTTGCAAACGTACTGGTATTCATGATACTCCCTCAACATTTCTCTCTTTCTTAAACAAAACAGGAAACTTCTTAGGGAGTTTTTAAAGACAATTTTTAAAGACAATTTTAACAAGGCCAAATGTTTGGCGAAAATTAACTTCTTGACATCGTAAAGGCAGGAGAATAACATAAAATTGACAGGTAAATTATATTCTTCAGCTGCACTTCTGGTACCCTTTTTCGTACTGCTCAACATATTTGGATAATGATTTGAAAACAGCGTCTGTAATATAAAATTAAGAATAAATAAAACTGAATGAATTGGTAGAACTACCAGAAACTTTGTCTCTTTTTACCGCATTTTCTCATTTATGAAAAAAGGTGCTAGCACATATTGCGCTCTTCATGTCCATCCGTCTGTCCGTCCGTCTGTTTGTCTGTGACTTCACGTTGCCGAGTATCTATGATACTCGGCAACGAGAAAATGCGCTCTCTGTCACTCACTGCAGTGAGTACTGAGTTATATTTTTTAGAATTGGACCTTGCAAATCCTCTGGCATTCGCTTAGAGGACTGAACCTGTACATAGCTTGCCGCGACAAGCAAGCAGCGAAAAAATACTATCATCAGTGATATATCAACGGCCCAATTGCATAAATATAGTTTTTCCTAAACATTGTTAGACTGTTGGATGCTTGTTCAAAAAACTCAATCACCGCTGTAATCGCTTTCAAAAAAACTTTTACTTGATTTGAAGGCATGAAATCTCTTGACTGAATTCTGTACGGATTTATTTGCATTTTTTGCATCATGTTCGCTCCGAGAATGCGAGCGTTAACTTTAACTTTAACAAGAATATTATTTAAACATTTAACGAGGCTAGCAACAAATTTTGCCCTGCGAACATGATAAAGTAACTATGAGGAACAAGAACCGTAAATATTGTGGGTGAAAAATGTCCTCTTTTATAAGTTGTCTAACGAAGCTTGATGGACTTAATAAGTTCATGATTTTGTAATAGAAATAAGATGAAGCTTTGAGGTTGAGATATTTCTATGTCTCAACTGTTGGCTAAATGTAAGACTCAAGCAAATGATGTTTAGGTGATAAATGTATGAATAATTAAAATAGACAATCAACCGAGAAGCTTAATTTAGAAACAGAACAAAATTGATTTATGTGCTGCCAAAGTGTTATTAACCCAGCATTGGAATAGCAGCAAAAAATGGAGGGTGTTCCAATAGGTTCTAATAAGGTTGGTGATGTCATTGATCATAAAGATGGGAGATTGTAAACCATTTTTTTGGGATGGGAGATTAAACGCCTTTTTTATTTTTCGAATAAAAGTTTCACTTTTCATTCTTCAATTTAGAATTTTTGCAGGTAAGGGAAACTCGTCCAGCTACTCTGAAATATTTGTGGTAATTTTATTTCACACTTTATCATGAATGAAATGGGCTTGTCCGAATCTGCGCTTCAAAAGAGAATACTTGCTGTCTGAAGATTCGATTGCATGTACTTAATAAAATTGTGGACAACCTCAGGGTTGTGTTCATATTTATAAGTTTCCATTATGAACTCATGACGACTAATCTTGGTGATATGTTTCTTTGCGATTCTAGATTCTCACATTTCAATGCTTGATGACAATTCTAACCTCAGGTGAAAGTAAAACACAATGGAAATGTTTTCGTGTTTTAAAATATTTCTTCACTGAGGGTAGTATTTTATTTGGGTATGTCTTATTTACTTGCGTCCATGTGAAATTACTCAATTCCATCACTTATCAGTCAGAATCATCTTTATGGAGAAAATTTTCTATGCGACAATTCCGACATAAAATCAACAATTCCGTTTGCAAGCGCCAACGTCGCTTACCTGACCGCTGCAATGCGGTTGAAAACTAACTTGACGATTAGAAACAATGAGCTAGTAATTATTTACATTCAATTCTATAAAGTTGGCAAACTTTTCTCATTCGTATTTTATTCTAAAATTTATTGTTACAAAAATGATCAAATCGAGAGGAGCGTCATTAGTCCTAAGTTGATTTCGCGATCAAATACTGATCAATAAAGTTATATTGAAACTTTAGAACGCTGCAATTTCGCCCTCGATCGCAATATTTAACTTCAATTATGCATACAATGCATCACATACCACGCAACCTCATCCACACCTGTGAGGGCCTTGAAAGATTTTTCGGGTCTTGTGATGTGGCAGTGAAGGAAATTGAATTACGATCGAAGGATGTAAGTTTTTGTTTCACTTTCGATTTTTATTTCACTTTTTACGTAAAATAATATAAAATACACAGTAAGAAATATCTATCTTCTTGAACCGCTACATTTTGGGAATTGAGCATGATCAAAATTGAGTCCTGAGTGGGAAGGCCCAACCTAAGCGGATGGAAGAAGCCATTATCACCCCAGTCGGCGTTACAAGAGATGGTAAAGAGGTAGTAAGGGATGTCATTTTCTTTTTCGCATCGGATAACCTTAACAATATGTCCGCCTAAATAATCTTGATGATAATCCGCCTAAATAATCTTGAAAAATTATTCTTAAACATCCATAGGTCAAAGTTCTGCAAGATCTTAGAGAATTTTATATTCGTCATCCATATATGATACACCTGCTAGCGAAGTGTTTGTCATCCACATACGAGGAGTTGTATTCCGGGATGCAAGAACGGAAGCTCTGTGGAGTGTTGTGGAAGCATACAGTTTGACCTGGGACAACCATCAGCGTTATGTTCGTATGCAGGGATCTAATATGGTTGACATCCTTACTTTGAATCGAACTTTCCTCCTGAAACGATGCCTTCGTCTCGCCAGAACTTGAAAGCTTCCCACACAAACCTTCCATCACATCCAGCACCGCAACTAAGACAGCAAGTAAAACTATCCGCGGAAGAATAATAGAACTGCGTCTTGTGGGCAATACAGTGACGATTCGTCATGGATTCCACAGCGCCCAAAGCCTATAAAAATTTAAAGATTACATGCGGTAAATAAAATGGAAACACAAACATTTTCGGATAAAATTATGAATAAAAATTATCCGGACAGTGAAATTCCTATTTTATATTCTCCGATATGGGTACGTTTGGGTGTTGTGCAAGTTGGCGTAGGCTTATTTCAGCTCTGCTCGCTGTAATATTCGCTTGATTTACCTTACTAGTGTCGTGGATATCTTTTGGGGAATAAGGGTTACTTAGGGATGTGATGCTTTTGGTCTATCTGAAATACATCAAGAACAAATATTTGTGCGGTTTGATAAATTTTTATCTAAATGAAACCTATGGATTCCATTCATGTGAAATAAATGTTCAGAGAAAATTGAGTTAGTGAATATCATACAGGGTGGAGCGCGGTAATTTGCTTATTTGCACTGCATGCTGTGGCGGCACTGACGGTTGAAGGCAGAGGAGAGTGGTCGAGTGGTCATGGCTTACAGTGGATGGCGGGAAATTTTTATTCGTCTGGCTCTCAATTGCCATCATGCAGTGGACACGTAAGGAGAGGTCATTTTGTGTAGAAGCGTATTTTTCAAATGCCTACTCGGTCATTGCAGTGCAGCGTGCTTTTCGTTAACGATTCGCTGTTCCTTCACGCGGACGTGTTCCTGGACGGCAATCAATTGTAAATTGGGTGAATGCATTCAGAAGAGCAGGGAATGTGTCATGTCTACGAAAGGGACCTGAGAGAAGGATTACAACACCACGAAACGTCGAGAAAGTTAGAGCGCAGTACTGCAATCTCCGAAACGCTCTGCTCGGAAGCAATCATTTGCTCTTGGCATTTGCTCATTAGAGGATACATGGTTCCAACAGGATGGTGCTACTGCACACACAGCAAGGGTTACCATGAATTGTTTGAGGCAAATGTTTCCTGGACGGCTTATCTCATTAAGGGGTGATGTGACTTGGCCAGCACGCTCACCAGATTTAGCCCCATGCGATTTTTTTCTTTGGGGTTACCTGAAGTCTAAGGTGTATATCAACCGCCCCAACACTTCGGAAGACCTAAGGAACAATATTGAAGCTGAAATTGGCAGAATACCAGCGGGCATGCTTGTTAGAGTTCATGAAAACTTCAGAAAACGTATGCAGCAGTGTGTGGATAGCGAAGGTCGACATTTGCCAGATATCCTACTTAAAACCATGTAATATATAAATTCCATTACCGTTCAATTTAATTCAAATAACAAATAAATTTTTCTAGTGATCATAATTTTTTATTTCATTCCCAAATCAGCAAATTACCGCGCGCCACCCTGTTATTTTAGCCTATACGATTTTCCAACACGAGCTGTGGACTAGAACTCGGTTACGTTTACTTACATGACAACCAAGATCCTTGTCTTCAAAGCAAAACAGTGGAAATAAAATGGAAGAAAAAGTATGGATTAAGCGAAAAAATGAACAAATGTCAAGTTACCCAGCACGAGCCGCAGCCTCCCTGGTCGCGGATCTCCCTCAGTGATGGGCAGTCCGGCCATTGTAGCCGCGCGTCGAACTCGGCAGGGAAGTCGAAGATATCTGCGAGTCGGTGAATAGATTATTTTATAATTCCGTTTGCAAAAATGAGACATGTGCATGTTATAGAACAATGTATTATGGTACTCACATGAGCAGCGAATCACGCATTGGGAGCAACATTAATAAGGTTGAGCGGGCGTGTAAC